AGTGAAAAGTCGATAAGATTAAATGTAAGTGTGTTTGTTGTGTGACTTTAAGCGGGTATAGCTCTGGATGTAGTGCCTTGATTTTAGTGTGGTTGGTGTGTTTTTGTTTGTCTAAGTTTGTTCTATAAGGTCGTGTTAAAGTTTTGTGTTTAGAATGTTCGATTGTGGTTTTGTGGTTGATGAATCGTAATATGGTGCCGATTTTTTCAAAGTTTTTCGTGGTTTTCGTGTTATTGTTGTTATTTAGTAGCTGTGTATTGCCTTTTATTTGTAGTGGTTGTGTAGAATAGGGTTGTAGCTACCTTATGGTGTTTAGTTTTTGAAGTTTGGTGCAATATTGGTTGAGTTATGGTTGTATTTCTACGGGTCAAGAAACACAGTGATTTCCCCGGGAATTTAGTTGGTTTGGGAGAGTTGCGGTCTTTAATTGGTGTGCTTGTTGTGTTGTATATCATGTTTTTTTTTGGTATGTAAATATTGAATTTGTTAGTTGTTCGTGTGTTTTGGGTTTTCTGGGTGTGGTGGTTTGGTTATTAGAGGTCGGGTAGTTGTCAATTATATATAATAGGGTTGTTCTATGTGTTAGAGAATTTGGCTCTGACTAGAGCATCGCTGAGATTTTGGTTTCTTCTCAGAGCAATAGTAGGGCTATTGGGGTATATCTGGGTTAGTGTAGGGTCGCTTTTTATAATGTGCCAGTGTTTTTGCAGAATAGTTTTGATCTGGTGGTTGATACCCGAGTGTGTGGTAATGAATGGTAGTGTGTTGTTTTCATATGTTTTAGTGCGGCGGGTACGGGCTGGTTGGTTCAGTAGTAGCGTTCTATTTAGTTTTCTGGTGTTAGCTATGTGTTTGTTGAAGTTCCTCGGGTTATGTCCACGTGTTTTTAGGTATTTTTTGAGGTTTTCCGAGTTTGAATCGTAGTCTAGTGTTGTAGTGCAGAGTTTTTTGTATCTAATGCATTCCCCTTTGGCTAGGTTGTCTAGGCAATGTTTAGGGTGAAATGAGTTTGCAGGTATGAATATGTGAGCATCGGTTGGTTTGGAGTATAGTTTGGTGTGTAGTGTTTTGGTGGTGTTGAACTCCTTAGGTTTGTATATCAGAGCGTCAAGGAATGGTATTTCCGTTGTAGATGTTTCTACTTCAAATTTAATTGTGTCATGTGTTTGGTTGCAATGTTGAATGAATGTGTTGAGTTCCTGGGTGTTGTGTTCCCAGATTATGAATATGTCGTCGATATATCTGAGGTAAATCGTGGGTTTTTTGTTGTTGGGTGCTGTTTCTAAGATTTTGTTCTCAATTTCAGCCATAGCTAGAATGGCCAGCGAGGGACTGATTTTAGAGCCCATGGCGCATCCGAATTTCTGGTGGTAGTATTCATTGTTGAATTCGAATATGTTCTGTTTGAGAATAATGTTGAGTAATTGTGTAATTCTTCTGTTAGAGGGTATGTTGATGTCTAGTTGGAGATTGGTTTTGTTCAAGTTGATGTGTTTTAGCGTTGCTGCAATAGCGTCACTATGGTTGATGTTGGTGTAAAGGCTGCTCACGTCCATTGTTACTAGAATGCAGTCTGGTTTGAGGGCGGGTAGTGATTGCAATTTGTTGATGAGATCAGTGCTATCTCTGACAAATGAAGGTATCATTTTGGTGAGTGGTTGGAGGAAATAGTCCAAGTACATTGCTATTTTTTCTGTTGGCCCGTTGTTACCAGATAGGATTGGTCTTCCTGGTGGGGGCGACTTGTTTTTGTGTATTTTTGGTAAATGATAGAATCTAGGTGCGCGTTCTTTCCCTGTGGGTGTGAGGAAATTCAACGTTGTTTCATCAATGTCGTGTTCTCTATACATTTCTAAAGCAATTTTTTTAATTGCTTGGCATATTTCTTGTATGTGTGGTGATTCGACTTTGTTGTAAGTGTTAGAGTCGGAGAGTTGTCTAATTGCTTCTGTTTGGTAGTCTGATTTGTTCTGAACGGTGACAGCTCCACCTTTATCAGCTCTTTTGATGATGATTTTTTGGTTGTTTTTTAATTGTTTTAAAGCTGTTTGTTCTGGTTTGGATAGGTTGTTTTGGTAGATAGGTATATTGATTCGTTTAATATCCTTCTCTATATTGTTGATATATTTCTCTAGTTTGGGTGAAGTAGAGACGGGAGGTATGAAAGTGCTTTTGTTTTGGAATGGGTGTTTTGAGCGTTTGCTGTTATGAAACATCAATTTTAATCTCAATTTTCTAGTAAAATCTGAGATGTCAGTGGTCAGGTAATGTTGTATATTTTTGGGGTCGGGTGTGGGTATGAACTTTAGTCCTTTAGAGAGGACTGAAAGTTCTGGTTTAGATAGTTGTTGGTCTGATATGTTTACCACCAGTTTGGTTTTGGCTGCTTGTTTTTTATGTATTATGCTTGTGTTCCTATGTTTGATATAGGACCTATGTAGTTTGTTATTTCTTTTTCTGGTCATATTTAGCAAGTGTTGCTATAATATGAATGATTGTAGTTGTTGCAGGTATGCGTATTGTTCTCTGAGATGTTGAGTATTGAGTGGGATGAGAGAGATCAGTGATTTGGAATCCGTTAATGATATGCAGTGTTAGCGATGTAATTATAGAGATGGTATCTCTATTGTTATGAAAGTTGGTTTGTGAAGTGTGAATAGGTGAACTATTTTTAGTTTGCGTGGTGCTATGTTTAATGTTTTAGGTGATGTTTGAGAGGCCTTTGATTTGTTTTCTATATCGAGTTGATATATTAAAGTGTTTTGGTATCTAGTTTATGAGATTCGTCTTGTTGCCATTTGGATTAAATTGGAATTGTTTTTGTTATGATTTTGGGTATGGCTTTTTTGGTTTTAGTATTCCAAAAAACGGTATATGCTTGATGGTTTGTGGGTAAATATGTGGTTAATAATTGGTATGGGTATGGTTTGGTTCTCTAGTATGCTGTGGTAGCTTTCTGGTAGAGGGTGTCTTGTTTTGTAACCATGTTTTTAGTTGATATTTGGTTATTATGTTGAGAGCGGTGTTTTCCGTTCATAATTCATGGGATGCGGTATTGGCGTTCGCGTATTTCGTATATGTATGGTTGTGTTGGTAGCAAAAGTATGGTTAGTTAGTTGTTGTTTGGTTGTTTGGTTGTTTAGTATGGTATCCTGGTTTGATGTAGATATGTGTATAATGATGGTAGCATTGATAGTTGTAGAGATATTAACTTGATTGTGGGGGGGTTATTTTCGTTCGCAATATTATGTTTTTTTAGTTTTGATTTCCCGTAAGGGTATATGCGTGTTGATTTATGGAGGATTGGTATGGTTAGTTGTTTATTCCATTTTGGTTTGGTTGGTTAGTATGTTATGGCAGCTTTCCAGTGTGTGGTGTATTGTGTCAATACCGTGTTTTTTGGCTGAGATATGGCTTTTTTGGTGGGTGTGGTGTTTTCCGTTCCTGATTTTTAAGATGCGGTATTTTTGTTCACCGATTTCGTATGTGTGTTGCTGTGTGGGTAGGAAAGGTATGATGAATAAGCTGTTATTTGGTTTTTTGGTTGTTTAGTATGATATCTTGGTATGTTGAGGATGTGTTTATTTTGGTGGTGGCAATTATAGTTTAAGAGATTTTAACTTGATTGTGAGGGCGGTTTTTCCGCTCTGAGATATCTGTTTGTACGCATTTTGGGATTGATAATTTCTAATACACGTAATGGTTAGTGAGGTGATATAAGAGTCTTTGGTTTGTATGTAGATGGTTTTATTATCTTGTTTGTTGTTTTGGGTGTTGTTTTGGGTGTTCAACTGTGTGTATTTCGTGATCGTACACATGGTATGGTGTGAAATTTTAACTTGTTTGTAAGGTTAATGTTTTGTCGTCTTATTTGAGTAATATTTTGTTTTATAGTTTTAATTTTATGTACGGGTCTATGCGTATTGGTTTTTCGGAGTATTCTTTTGGTTATTATGTTATTTAATGTTGATTTTGTTAGATAGGGAATTGTGTTAGCTTTCTGGTGAGGGGTGTCTTGTATTTTTACCATATTTTTAGGCTGAGTTGTGGCTTTTGGGTGGGGGTGGTGTTTTCCGTTTGTAATTTGTAAGATGCGGTATTGGCATTCGTGGATTTCGTATATGTTTGGCTGCATTGGTAGCAAAAGTGTGGTGAGTGAATTGTTGTTTGGTTGTTTGGTTGTTTAGTATTGTATTCTGGCTTGATATTGATATGTATATTGTGGTGGTAGCATTTGTAGTTTTGGAGATATTAACTTGATTGTGTAGGTAGTGTGTTTGTTATGAGGTATCGCTTAGCGCGTATTGCGAGGTTGGTCGCTTCGTGAAAGTGTGGTGATTGGGTTAAAGTTTGGTTGTTTGGTTGTTTAGTATGTTATCCTAGCTTGGTGTGGATATGTGTATTGTGTTGGTGGTACTTTGTTGGTAGCCGTGTATGTGGTGGCTTGTGGGGAGGGGGAAGGGGGGGGGGAACGGTGCGCTGATTGAAGAAAAATGTTCGAAACACCTGGTAAGGTGAGATGGTTCAGCCAGTTCTTCACAAAAAATGGTTGTTTTGTTGTTGACATATACTTGGTGAGTGTCCATCTGACAATTCTCGATAGGACCCATGTCCGGAGACTAGGTACGCTAGTTATTCACTTAGTTTGGTTTTATCCTTATGGCTAATGGAGACAGCCGTAAAAGCACTGATTCTTGGGGAGATGACTTAGAAAATGTCTTGAGACATCACCAGTTATGTGCACGCATTGTTCATGCAGTCTGTGAACAAGCGGTGAGAGGTCTCTGTGTGGGGACCTGGGGGACATAATCTAGTCGCCTAAGTTTCCCTAAACTATCGCATGTCTAATATGTGACAAGAATAGTATATGTCAGTAAAAATGGCGTAAGATATTGTTCGTATCTTACCCAAGAAATATTGTTTTGTTTTTTGTTATTTTTGTGAGGGCGGCCGGACATCCCGGTCCTGTGGTGGACCATCTCTCTTATATGTGTGTCATGATAAGAGCACAAGATGTTTCGAACTCATGGGTGGTAGTCCATGATGTGTTCTTCATCAGCGGCTTGGGGAATGGGGAGGGGGAAGGGGGAATGTTAGTGTATACACGGGTGTGTGTTCCGAAGTACGGGCAGTGGTTTGCAGGTTTAAATTGTAAACGTTTGGTGTGTTTTGGTTGGCACTAGTAGTAGAAGTGTTGTTTAGTTTTAAAGTTAGTAATACAAGGGTTTGCTTTATTAGTTTTAGGGGGGTTAATATAGTTTCGGGTTAACATGTTTGGCGGTTTCCATACACGTTCATACATTTCATATGCTATACACATTCATACTTTTAAATTCATAAATGTTTAATTGCTCTTTTGGTAGAGAATGGTGGCCCTGAGAAGGGCCGGGGTTGTATTTTTTAAAGTAGTTTTGTTCTACTGTCTTTTCCCACGGGGTTTTGTGTTTGGTTCCCGTCTTTTTGGTTTGAAGGCCTCACGCCTGTACTGCTCTGCCAGTTTGTCTGCTTCTACAAGGCCGATGGTTTTGGCTAGCGTTTGGATGGTTTCACTGGTTTGTTGTCTGTGAAAGTCTAGTCTGTTTTGGCTGTGGAGTGTGGTGGCTTCTGTCAGCTGGTCGCTGCAATGGTGTAAAATAACATCAAACGCCTTTTCAATATCAGAGGTTTCCTTCTCAGGGGCGCCGCATTTGATATTTGGTATGAGGCCTCTTGGGATGCCTCCCGGGCAGTTGTTAAGGCTTTTAAGGACGCCATCGTGTCTGGCTTCCCAGTGTATTGATGTTCTCAAACGGGTGAGTAGAGCTGGGTCTGCTTGGCGTGTGGCGTTGGGGTTGTTCCCGATGTTTGTAGGTAGGCCTAGACCCATCGCGTCTATGATGTTGAGAGTGTGTTTGGGTTTGCGTGGTATTGTGTATAAAGGGTTGTTTTTTGTGAAGGTAGAGGCCGACTTGATATGGTGTTTGTCTTTAGGGCTGCTGGTTGTAGCTTGTTTAAAGGCTTGCTTGTTGAAGGCAGCGCTGTTAGCTGGTACTTCTGAGTCGGGAATGGTGTCCCTGCTGTCATTCATCTCCATAGAGTTATGAGAGTTGAATCTCCCGCTGCAGATAGACGCCTGGGTATCATTGGCGTTGGCAATCATCTGGCCTATTGATAGGTCTTTGGCAATGCTCATGTTGAGGTTTAGGTTGTTGTTGTTGTTATGTTGTCAGTGTTGTACTGTAATATGATCTATCGTCCTCGTGTGTTATATTTATATGGAAGGTGCGGACGTCAGAGAACAAACTTCCGGTTTATTGCTCTTCTTAGTGAAAAGTCGATAAGATTAAATGTAAGTGTGTTTGTTGTGTGACTTTAAGCGGGTATAGCTCTGGATGTAGTGCCTTGATTTTAGTGTGGTTGGTGTGTTTTTGTTTGTCTAAGTTTGTTCTATAAGGTCGTGTTAAAGTTTTGTGTTTAGAATGTTCGATTGTGGTTTTGTGGTTGATGAATCGTAATATGGTGCCGATTTTTTCAAAGTTTTTCGTGGTTTTCGTGTTATTGTTGTTATTTAGTAGCTGTGTATTGCCTTTTATTTGTAGTGGTTGTGTAGAATAGGGTTGTAGCTACCTTATGGTGTTTAGTTTTTGAAGTTTGGTGCAATATTGGTTGAGTTATGGTTGTATTTCTACGGGTCAAGAAACACAGTGATTTCCCCGGGAATTTAGTTGGTTTGGGAGAGTTGCGGTCTTTAATTGGTGTGCTTGTTGTGTTGTATATCATGTTTTTTTTTTTGGTATGTAAATATTGAATTTGTTAGTTGTTCGTGTGTTTTGGGTTTTCTGGGTGTGGTGGTTTGGTTATTAGAGGTCGGGTAGTTGTCAATTATATATAATAGGGTTGTTCTATGTGTTAGAGAATTTGGCTCTGACTAGAGCATCGCTGAGATTTTGGTTTCTTCTCAGAGCAATAGTAGGGCTATTGGGGTATATCTGGGTTAGTGTAGGGTCGCTTTTTATAATGTGCCAGTGTTTTTGCAGAATAGTTTTGATCTGGTGGTTGATACCCGAGTGTGTGGTAATGAATGGTAGTGTGTTGTTTTCATATGTTTTAGTGCGGCGGGTACGGGCTGGTTGGTTCAGTAGTAGCGTTCTATTTAGTTTTCTGGTGTTAGCTATGTGTTTGTTGAAGTTCCTCGGGTTATGTCCACGTGTTTTTAGGTATTTTTTGAGGTTTTCCGAGTTTGAATCGTAGTCTAGTGTTGTAGTGCAGAGTTTTTTGTATCTAATGCATTCCCCTTTGGCTAGGTTGTCTAGGCAATGTTTAGGGTGAAATGAGTTTGCAGGTATGAATATGTGAGCATCGGTTGGTTTGGAGTATAGTTTGGTGTGTAGTGTTTTGGTGGTGTTGAACTCCTTAGGTTTGTATATCAGAGCGTCAAGGAATGGTATTTCCGTTGTAGATGTTTCTACTTCAAATTTAATTGTGTCATGTGTTTGGTTGCAATGTTGAATGAATGTGTTGAGTTCCTGGGTGTTGTGTTCCCAGATTATGAATATGTCGTCGATATATCTGAGGTAAATCGTGGGTTTTTTGTTGTTGGGTGCTGTTTCTAAGATTTTGTTCTCAATTTCAGCCATAGCTAGAATGGCCAGCGAGGGACTGATTTTAGAGCCCATGGCGCATCCGAATTTCTGGTGGTAGTATTCATTGTTGAATTCGAATATGTTCTGTTTGAGAATAATGTTGAGTAATTGTGTAATTCTTCTGTTAGAGGGTATGTTGATGTCTAGTTGGAGATTGGTTTTGTTCAAGTTGATGTGTTTTAGCGTTGCTGCAATAGCGTCACTATGGTTGATGTTGGTGTAAAGGCTGCTCACGTCCATTGTTACTAGAATGCAGTCTGGTTTGAGGGCGGGTAGTGATTGCAATTTGTTGATGAGATCAGTGCTATCTCTGACAAATGAAGGTATCATTTTGGTGAGTGGTTGGAGGAAATAGTCCAAGTACATTGCTATTTTTTCTGTTGGCCCGTTGTTACCAGATAGGATTGGTCTTCCTGGTGGGGGCGACTTGTTTTTGTGTATTTTTGGTAAATGATAGAATCTAGGTGCGCGTTCTTTCCCTGTGGGTGTGAGGAAATTCAACGTTGTTTCATCAATGTCGTGTTCTCTATACATTTCTAAAGCAATTTTTTTAATTGCTTGGCATATTTCTTGTATGTGTGGTGATTCGACTTTGTTGTAAGTGTTAGAGTCGGAGAGTTGTCTAATTGCTTCTGTTTGGTAGTCTGATTTGTTCTGAACGGTGACAGCTCCACCTTTATCAGCTCTTTTGATGATGATTTTTTGGTTGTTTTTTAATTGTTTTAAAGCTGTTTGTTCTGGTTTGGATAGGTTGTTTTGGTAGATAGGTATATTGATTCGTTTAATATCCTTCTCTATATTGTTGATATATTTCTCTAGTTTGGGTGAAGTAGAGACGGGAGGTATGAAAGTGCTTTTGTTTTGGAATGGGTGTTTTGAGCGTTTGCTGTTATGAAACATCAATTTTAATCTCAATTTTCTAGTAAAATCTGAGATGTCAGTGGTCAGGTAATGTTGTATATTTTTGGGGTCGGGTGTGGGTATGAACTTTAGTCCTTTAGAGAGGACTGAAAGTTCTGGTTTAGATAGTTGTTGGTCTGATATGTTTACCACCAGTTTGGTTTTGGCTGCTTGTTTTTTATGTATTATGCTTGTGTTCCTATGTTTGATATAGGACCTATGTAGTTTGTTATTTCTTTTTCTGGTCATATTTAGCAAGTGTTGCTATAATATGAATGATTGTAGTTGTTGCAGGTATGCGTATTGTTCTCTGAGATGTTGAGTATTGAGTGGGATGAGAGAGATCAGTGATTTGGAATCCGTTAATGATATGCAGTGTTAGCGATGTAATTATAGAGATGGTATCTCTATTGTTATGAAAGTTGGTTTGTGAAGTGTGAATAGGTGAACTATTTTTAGTTTGCGTGGTGCTATGTTTAATGTTTTAGGTGATGTTTGAGAGGCCTTTGATTTGTTTTCTATATCGAGTTGATATATTAAAGTGTTTTGGTATCTAGTTTATGAGATTCGTCTTGTTGCCATTTGGATTAAATTGGAATTGTTTTTGTTATGATTTTGGGTATGGCTTTTTTGGTTTTAGTATTCCAAAAAACGGTATATGCTTGATGGTTTGTGGGTAAATATGTGGTTAATAATTGGTATGGGTATGGTTTGGTTCTCTAGTATGCTGTGGTAGCTTTCTGGTAGAGGGTGTCTTGTTTTGTAACCATGTTTTTAGTTGATATTTGGTTATTATGTTGAGAGCGGTGTTTTCCGTTCATAATTCATGGGATGCGGTATTGGCGTTCGCGTATTTCGTATATGTATGGTTGTGTTGGTAGCAAAAGTATGGTTAGTTAGTTGTTGTTTGGTTGTTTGGTTGTTTAGTATGGTATCCTGGTTTGATGTAGATATGTGTATAATGATGGTAGCATTGATAGTTGTAGAGATATTAACTTGATTGTGGGGGGGTTATTTTCGTTGGCAACAAGACGAATCTCATAAACTAGATACCAAAACACTTTAATATATCAACTCGATATAGAAAACAAATCAAAGGCCTCTCAAACATCACCTAAAACATTAAACATAGCACCACGCAAACTAAAAATAGTTCACCTATTCACACTTCACAAACCAACTTTCATAACAATAGAGATACCATCTCTATAATTACATCGCTAACACTGCATATCATTAACTGATTCCAAATCACTGATCCCTCTCATCCCACTCAATACTCAACATCTCAGAGAACAATACGCATACCTGCAACAACTACAATCATTCATATTATAGCAACACTTGCTAAATATGACCAGAAAAAGAAATAACAAACTACATAGGTCCTATATCAAACATAGGAACACAAGCATAATACATAAAAAACAAGCAGCCAAAACCAAACTGGTGGTAAACATATCAGACCAACAACTATCTAAACCAGAACTTTCAGTCCTCTCTAAAGGACTAAAGTTCATACCCACACCCGACCCCAAAAATATACAACATTACCTGACCACTGACATCTCAGATTTTACTAGAAAATTGAGATTAAAATTGATGTTTCATAACAGCAAACGCTCAAAACACCCATTCCAAAACAAAAGCACTTTCATACCTCCCGTCTCTACTTCACCCAAACTAGAGAAATATATCAACAATATAGAGAAGGATATTAAACGAATCAATATACCTATCCACCAAAACAACCTATCCAAACCAGAACAAACAGCTTTAAAACAATTAAAAAACAACCAAAAAATCATCATCAAAAGAGCTGATAAAGGTGGAGCTGTCACCGTTCAGAACAAATCAGACTACCAAACAGAAGCAATTAGACAACTCTCCGACTCTAACACTTACAACAAAGTCGAATCACCACACATACAAGAAATATGCCAAGCAATTAAAAAAATTGCTTTAGAAATGTATAGAGAACACGACATTGATGAAACAACGTTGAATTTCCTCACACCCACAGGGAAAGAACGCGCACCTAGATTCTATCATTTACCAAAAATACACAAAAACAAGTCGCCCCCACCAGGAAGACCAATCCTATCTGGTAACAACGGGCCAACAGAAAAAATAGCAATGTACTTGGACTATTTCCTCCAACCACTCACCAAAATGATACCTTCATTTGTCAGAGATAGCACTGATCTCATCAACAAATTGCAATCACTACCCGCCCTCAAACCAGACTGCATTCTAGTAACAATGGACGTGAGCAGCCTTTACACCAACATCAACCATAGTGACGCTATTGCAGCAACGCTAAAACACATCAACTT